ACAATCAGCCTGGAATAACCAGGGAAAAAATTGCAACCCTCAAAGACAGGGTTCACTGTTTAACATAAGTTGTGAAATGTGCCAGTACAAAGGACAACATCATATAAAGAGTCTCATATTCTCTCTCTCTCTTCTGCCGTGGGAAAGTTTCCTTGACTACCTACGTCAGAGAAGTTATGTAGAAGCCGATTTTTATCAATCCTGAAAAGTTAACTCCCCATTTGTTCACTAAGCTGTAGTCACACTGGGCTTCCTAATGTTTCAATAAGTTCTACCCACCTCAGGGCCTTTGTACCTGCTCCTCTCTGCATCTGAGTCCTCTGCCAGGCTCCACCCAGCAGGCTCCTTGCCCATCAGGTCTCTGCTCCAGTGTTGCTTTCTCAGGAACGGTTTCTTAGCTCCTGCCAGCTAAAACAATCTTCCCCCATATAAACCTTCTCTCCCACTGGACTGTTTTATTTTCTGCACAGCACATGAAATTCTCATGTGTTTATCAGTTCACTGTCTGCCTCCCTCGCCAGAAAGCAAGCTCCATGAGGACAGGGACTCCACCTGCTTTGCACACCAATGCACCCCCTGCACCTACAACACTGCCAGATAGACAGTGTGTGCTCTACAGATATTTACTGAGTGAGTGACCCCCATGGTGCACGACGTCATAATCAACTTCCATATGCAACAGTCCAAAGGTCAGTCTCTGCATGTTGAGATCACACCTTGTACAGGAGGCCATGGGTACAGACTCTCCAGGGACAGTCTGCTATCATCTCCTGGCTGAAAGGGCAAATGGCTTACACTGGAAGCCCAATTGGTCACCAAGGACTTCCCGGGCTTTTGCACTAATCCTCCCTCACCCTGGGCTCAGGTCAGATGGCACAGCGCACTCAAAGGCCTTTCCTGTAGGTTTATAAATAAACTTGGGCTCATTGTTGATCTTAGACTGGCCTACATAGCATGTTGCCCTCCATGTGCTCAGTTAGTGGGACTGTTCCCAGTAAGACTGGTAAACAGTCATGCAGAGAACAACCCAGAACGACGACCTAGGTCTAAAGTGGTCACACAAACACCACATATTTAAGATCCTCTCTCAAATCCTGCCCCCAGTCTTTACAGAAGCAGTTCATCCCAATTATGTGCCGGAGTTAGGAATTGTTCATTCTTACTGAAATGACTATCTGGCTTATTTTTCTTGTAAGTCATTTCCTTCAAGTGGACACTCAAATGTTAGACCATCTACAACCCCTGATGAGTCACTAAGTGTTTCATAAACTGTAGAGTACTGCTTACTCAAGAAGTATTATTATTATTAAGCCCAAGCAACGGGCGTATTTACCAGTATTTCAATTCTGAGTTCTTTGGAAACATATTGCTCAAAATAGTATTTGAGATTTTTTAATTAATAAAAAACTTACATTAAAATTGATTTTATAGATAGAGCTTTAATTTCTTTGTACATTGAACACAAAACAGTTGATATGAGATTCCCATTTACAAGACCTGACTACAGGTTTAATAACACAAAATAATGGAGCTCAATGACTGGAGAATACATATGCTATTTTATTACAGACTGAAGCCTTAGAAAAGAGGAAAGAGTTATCTGTAAAGTGGGTAGCCAACACAAGGTTGGCTAAGGTTGCAAAGTTGCATGACGCAATTAGGAGGGATGAAATAGTTTGCATTTTACTCATTGAATCCTTGAGTTTAGGATTGGGATGCTTCATTTTGGTTCAAACCTCTTGCTTTGGAGCAAATCTCCCAAACCTCTCAAATGAGGAAGCAGTGAAGCAATTAACTTCTGTGGTTTGATGTGGGGCAGAATAACTGAGTGGTTAACAACGGACTTCTAGATGGTTTTGAGTTGGGGGTCTGGGTTCTGTCACCTTCTAGCTGCATCACCACAGTGAGGATGTCCTATGTGAATCTCAGCATTTGACTTAATTCCTCTGAACCTGCATTTCCTCATTTATGAAATGGAAATACCCCATGAACTTGTTAGTACAGATTAAATTTCATATCGCATAAGCAAAGCACTTAGCACAGTACACTTCAATCCTAGGTATTGGCATTTGTAAATAACAAGGGTTCTGGAAGTCATTTTCTGCCCTCTTATTAAATTCAAAATAACTTCTTCAAGAAACAGTGGAACTGGGATAGGATACAAGGCCACTTGAATTAATACCAAGAGATTATGAAATTAATAGCATGTAGATATCTGTACTCAGGCACGGCTGGATAATTCAAATTTATTAGTGGCAAGTTAAGAAACACCATCTACCCTTCAGTTGAGGGTTGATTATAAGTTCTATGAAATGTCACAGAGATCGACCAGAGGAAAAACATGTTCCCTAACCCAGACTTCATACATACAAGTTTGTCATGGTTACTGTTGCAGTTTTTAAAAACAATCCTTTTGTTTTACTGAAGGGAGCCACAGATTCCTTACCTCACAGAGCTACTCCTGTCTTCTGGATGTTTATAACGATGTCATAGATTTGCAGAACTCCTTTCTGCTGTGCATTTTCATGCAAGTTTCAGCCCAGTTCATTTACTGTTTATAGCATTTCATGTGATATGCAAAGCAGATATCAATGCCATTTTTGTTTGTTTCTTTATTTTAACACAGGAAGAGTATGAGACCCAGAGAGGTTACGCAATTTGTCCAATGTCAATCTGTCCAAGGGTCACATAGCTGTTCAGTAACCAGAGCAACAAGATAGCAGGAACACTTACTTAGTCCAGTGAGATTCCCAGGGCTTCTCAAACCATAGCGTGCACATGAAACTCTGGGGATCTTGTTATAATGCAGTTTCTGAATTCAGTAGGTCTGGAGGGGGTACTAGGAATCTGGATATCTAACAAGTTCCCAGAAGTTTCCGCAGCTGGTAGTCCTTGGATCATCTCTCACTATACCTTCATGACACCCTGAGTATGTCCTTCCTAATACTTCCCCCAGCTGTAATTGGACCGTTTGGTTATTCATTCATTTCCTCCACCTGACTATGAACTCCATAAGAACAAAAACTGTGTTTTGTTTATAAGTTTGACCTGGCTGCCCAGCACCATGGCTGGCAAAAAAAAGGAACCAAATAAATGAACATCTTGAATGAGTGAGGGGAAAATGATCTATTTCCAATTATATTAAGACTCTGATTACTTGAAAACAGGAGGGAAAAAAAGATGTTTGCACATATGTTTTCTTGTCTTAAGTCACATTATGATACCTAATTGTAATTGCCATCTCCCAAAATAACATAACCAAAAGAAGCCCTGCAGAGTCAACCAGTTTAGACCTGCACCTCTTGCAGAACTGTGCCTAGGTTCCAGTGGAACCCAATTACATCCTCCAGCCAATGGGATGAGTTAGTGGGTGGTCCTTCTGAGTGTAAGGATTGGTGTAGAATAGGCAGGGTGACCAAGGTTCATGAACACTAAGTTTGAAAGAGGCCATATCATTTCTGTTCCCACTTGAGAATAATAATGACAGCGATCTACCATACATTAAGGGTTTTCCACATGCCAGGCACCATGCTAAGCACTTTGCACCAGTCATTTCATTCTCTCTACAAACCTATGAGATAAGCTCTCGTTTTATAGATAAAGAAACTGAGACATAGGGTTTTCAAACTATAGGAGGTGAAGCCAGGATTTGGCAGTCTTGTTTTAGAGCTGATGCTTCTAACCACATTGCCTACTGCCTAGAAGCTCCCAGGGAAAAGAAACAATTGCTGAAGATGGGAGTGACTCTACTCATCTGTCATTAACCTGATAATAAGCTCTGACAAATCCCATATATAAGAGGTTGGGGAGAAACACATGACATTAACAGGATGTGGTCGTTATACCTAGAAAGAAGCGTCTGAAAATATAGAAAAAGAATAGGATTACCTGTTACAGTTTTCAATTATTGCTCAGTCTGACTCTATTTGGTTTATGGTTAAATATACAACACCACTGAAAGGTTAAGTAAGAGTCAGTTAAGGAATAGGTTTCAAAGGTTCAGATTCCTTTCATACTTCATTAAGTCTCTTATGAAACCTGGCATTAATGATTGGGCCAAATCTGAAAAGAAAGTCATCACATGAAACAAATCAGAATTTTGTTAAGATGTGTGTCCAGTGTAAAATCTCAAAAGGTCTAAAGGACAGCGAGATCTTGTTTTTCAAAAGCTTAAAAAGCAGAAGTTCAACAGTTATATTTTAACACTGACTGCCAGGCAATGAGGGAATTAAAAAAACAGGGAAAGAGAATGCATTGTCAAGTGGGACATGAGAAAAGGGTAAACTTGATCTTTTTTCTTGACAAAAGATTTTTAAATGTGGAATAAGAAAAATAAAGAGTAGCAATACTAGATACAGCAATAGGGATTTAAATAAAGCAGTATTGTTAAAAAAAGTAGTTGAGTTCTACAGATTGGTTTTTAAACTACATTTGTCTTTTTTGTTTTGTTTTGTTTTGTTTTTGAGACAGAGTCTTACTCTGTTGCCTGGGCTAGAGTGCCGGGGCATCAGCCTAGCTCACAGCAACCTCAAACTCCTGGGTTCAAGCAATCCTTCTGCGTCAGCCTCCCGAGTAGAGGGGACTACAGGCATGTGCCACCATGCCCAGCTAATTTTTGCTATCTATTTTTAGTTGGCCAATTAATTTCTTTCTATTTTTAGTAGAGACGGGGGTCTCGCTCTTGCTCAGGCTGGTCTTGAACTTCTGACCTTGAGTGATCCTCCTGGCTCAGCCTCCCAGAGTACTAGGATTATAGGTGTGAGCCACTGAGCCCAGTCTACATTTGTCTTATTAAGGTATTATTGTGCATTTTTGGTGGCAACATGATATTATGGACCTGGTTCTGCCACTTCCTAGTTAGGGCCTCAAGCTGGTATAATTCCTCCAAGATTCAGTTTATTCATCTGTAAAATTTAGACAACTAACACCTTCTTCCTAGGATTATTATAAAACTTGCATTAAATAACATAGAGTGAGAATTTAGACCCAAAGAGGAAATCAACTCAGCTTATACCCTGTTTTCTCTCCTTGCTTATAAGTTCTGTTTTCCTAAAAGGATGTCTTTTAAGTGTTTCCTTCCAAACTCTAAGTCTTTGTCGGTATAAATATTCTCACTTGTTTAATTGCCCCAGGGTTAAGAAAAACAATCTACCTGTTGATTCCTTCAGTCTCTAAAAAAAAAAAAGAAAAAAAAGAAAAACAATCTACCTGAAAACAGATGAAATATTTGTATAAGAAAATGGGCATAAACTACTGGTATATTGTATATAAAGATTATGCTCCTGGGATATTAAATTTGGTATGTTAAAAATAGAATGATACAAAATTTCACAAAAGTACACATCCTTAAAAAATCAACTTCACACATAATTTCACCTATAAATATTAGTCAATACACCAAATAACAACTATGTTAAAATTGGAAGTTTGATGACTCTATAAGATAGATTTTTTGGGAAAAAAATTTCCACTTTGATTTATATGAATGTTTTATAAGCTGTAAAGTATGAAACAATACACAATGTTGTTTTTAACGTAATATCCTGTTGGCTTCTAGAATACATTGGCGATGTCATCAAATTGAAATCACTCAATATATTAAAATACAAATTTTTATTCACTGGAATTCAATTTGAAATTTACATGTAAAGTAAAGGAAATCAGCTTTCTAAGAAGTTATAACAACATACATAATAGACATTAAGTCAACAAAGATGACAAACAAAATTTTTAGAAGTCTTCCCACAATTTCATCTTCCAGACTTTTGGAAGTAGTAGTGGAAATTAATATCCAGTTTTTACCAGTCATATCCAGAATACTCCTGCTCCCTAGGGAAAAAAAAAAGGAAAATTATCTTCAAATGAGCACATTTAGAATCCCAATTCTTTCAACTCAATCTAATATTTGCACTATAAAAATAGTGATGAAGATTAGTCTTCCAGGGAATACTCTGTACCTATTTCTAATCAACCAATGAGCTAAAATATTTTTCTTCCCAATGAATTAAATTATTTTTCTCCCATTCATTCTGACCAATTTATGTCATAATCACAAGTTTTTCTATATGCCAAACTTTTCCTTTCTTTCTAAAAGAAACAGCTCAAGAGACTTTCATAATGACCATCCTCTTCTCATACTATAATATGTAATATAACACAATATTACACAAATAAGTTTATTTATGAAGTTTCTTCAGTCATTTACATCGGTGAAGTTGCCATTCCTCTAATCTGTACAGTTGGTGTTAACAGAAAGTGATAATTTGAAGACATGAAAAAAGGCAGGTAATGATAAACTTTTTAAAAAAATAAACAACAAAGAGTCTTTTTTTTCAAGATCCTCTCATGGTTTGGTCACTTAATAAGACATCAAACGTTTCATTTCCTCCACATTTCTGTGTTGATGAAACAGCTTTTTAAAAAAATAGCTGGAATTTTGGAAGGTATTAATTTCTGGTCTGTTTTCCACACTGTCAGAACATCTTACCAAATATCTGTCAGGAAAGGAGTTTAGAACTATTCTCAATCCCTTCTACAGGGAGTACAAAGGCAAATAAGTAATTTTCAAAGCCTTACACCAAAGTTCTTTATATACATTGAAGTTAAAATGAACATCAATGCCTAAAAAAAAAAAAATGGCAAGATTTGGGTAGCAAAATACTTCATCTGCTATTTTCACTCAACAATCAAAAAGGCAGGCTGAGTTTTACAAGAGCAGGAGAAAGAGAGAAGGAAAGAGAGATAAGTGTTACGCCAGTGTTGTCTTCTCCCACTTTGAGCAACCTTGATTAATTTCTGTAATAGCCTGCTCCATTCCTAGAGGAGGGAATGACTTGCCCCAAATTACACAGCAATCGTTGGCAAAATAAACACCTAGCAATTTCCCTACATTCAACAATTCCTTTTGTCTGTGTTTCGGCAACAAGGGGCAAGAATAACACATGTGTTTGCAAAATGATTTTCCTTCCCTCCTGTAGCCTCAGCCTCCAGCTTGTGTTTCTTCAGGCTGTGCTCCCTGGGGTGCCTTCAACTCTCTCCAAAAGCAGTGAGAAAGAGACTGAAATAAGAAGTGAGGGGGAGACTAGACAATTGGTGTGGACTGAGGAGTGGGTAGAGACCCATTTCTCACCTGAGTTAATCCCAGGCAGTGGTAGGTAACACTGCTCCTCAGTTTTCTCTTAGTCTGCTCTTGCTAGAACAAAGTGCATTCAGCGCAGGTGGTCTCTTAGCAACCTTGATTCCTGTGACAAAGCACATTAAAAGGTTTTATTGGACAATGAGGTAGTGTAGGAAGTGGAGAGGCAGGGAGCTTACATGGAAAAACTCTAAAATTGTTTTCAAAAGAAGACAGGAAGGAAATGTCGAAGAGCGAACTTTGGAAAATACGACACTCTGATTTCTACTTATCACAGAATTGTATAGCTAGAAACTGAACATTTAACAGAAAGATTAAGCTGACTTCTAGGATTTTCCTGGCAGGGCAAACATTCATCACACTTTTTAAAGAAATAATTCTCTAAAAGTTATTTTAAACAAATGCTTTCATATCTTCATGACAATACAACCACCACCATCAAAAAAACTCCCCTCCCCCCAAAAAACAAAAAAAAAATTCCCAAATCTTCTCTATATAAGAGAATTTAACTCATGAGATTGTATGTCTGTGTTTTAATTAAGTCATCCCTCCATATCCATTGGGAATTGGGTCCAAGACCCTCCACAGATATCCAAATCTATAGATGCTCAAGTCTCTGGTATAAAATGGCATAGTATTTGCATATGAGCTACACACATCCTCCTGTATACTTTAAGTTCTTTCCAGATTACTTACAGTACCTGATATAATGTAAATGCTATATAAATACTTGTTATGCTGTATTGTTCAGGGAATAACGACATGCAAAAAAAAGTCTGCACATGTTCAGTACAAACAATTTTTGTCCTAATATTTTCGATTCACAGTTGATTGAATCCATGGATGTAGAACCCACGGAGACAGAGGACCAACTGTACTATAAGTTTTCAGATTTTGTATCACTTTTACAAATGTATTTGTTGTATATGACAATGTAATAATAATAGGAGTAAAGCGCACAATAAATGTAATACTCTTGAATCATCCCCATACCATCCCCCGACTCCCTGGTCCATGGAAAAATTGTCTTCCATGAAAATGGTCTCTGGTGCCGAAAAGGTTGGGGACCACTGCTCTAAGTGACCTTGTATAGCTGTCACAATGTCATAGTAGAATGCATTACTCTTATGTTGGTGGTGATGCTGGTGTAAATAAACCTACTGCACTGCCAGTCATACAAAAGCACAGCACATACAATTATGTACAGTGCCTAATACTTGATCATGATAATGAATGACTATGCTACTGTTTTATGTATTTTACTATATTATATTTTCTATTGTTATTTTAGAGTATACTCCTTCTACTTATTAAACAAAATTTTAACTGTCAAATAGCCTCTGGCAGGTCTTTCAGGAGGTATTCTAGAAGAAGGCATTGTTATCATGGAAGATGACAGCTCCATGCATGTTACTGACCCTGAAGACCTTCCAGTGGGACAAGATGTGGAGGTGGAAGACAGTGATATTGAAGATCTTGACTCTGTGTTGGCCTAGGCTAATGTGTGTGTCTTAGTTTTTAACAAAAAAGTTTTAAAAGGAAAAAAAAAATCTTGAAAACAGAAAAAAGCTTATAGAATAAGGATATAAAGAAAATTTTTTTTTACAGCTCTACAATGTGTTCATGTTTTAAGCTAAGTGTTATTACAAAAAGGTAAAAAAATTAAAAACTTAAAAAGTGTATAAATTAAAAAAATTATAGTAAGCTAATTCATTATCAAAGAATTTTTTAAATAAATTTAGTGTAGCCTAAGTGTACAGTGTTCACAAAATCTATAATAGTGTACAGTAATATCCTAAGTCTTCACATTCACTCACTAATACTGATTCACCCAAAGCAACTTCCAGTCCTGCAAACTCCATTCATGGTGGTAAGTGCCTTACACAAGTATTATATACCACTTTTTATCTTTTATACTGTATTTTTACTGTACCTTTTCTATGCCTAGATAGACACACAAATACTTACCATTGTGCTACAATAACCTACAGTATTCAGTATAGTAATATGCTATACAGGTTTGTAGCCTAGGAGCAATAGGTTATATCATGTAGCCTAGGTGTGTAGTAGTCTATACCATCTAGGTTTGTGTGAGTACACTCTGTTATGTTCATACAACAATGATATCACCTAATGCTACATTTCTCAAAATGTATCCCTGTGGTTAAGCTACCCATGACTGTAATATTCATTGGGGTAATCTACACTGATAATATACTTTAAATATAAAGACCTTATACTCAAAGGTGTTCATTGCAGTCTACTTGCTCCACCCCTTCACCACATCCTTTTTCTCTGGTAAGCTTTTCTTAATGAACTATATCATACCTATACAATAGAAAAGTAGAAAAATAGTAAGTAATGAGTCATAAGTGAATAAATCATAAGCTTAATGAGTTTTTTACAAAATAAATGCATGCATATAACCACATCGGATCCACAGTGTCATTTTTATTACAGGAAAAAAAAATAGGAGTAATGATAACAGAGTAAACAAACTATAATTTAGCTACATAGGATAGTTATTCCAACTATGAAATCGTGGAAAAACCACGTAGAAAATGATGTCAGAGTATTTAGCTATGAATACAACACATACTTATGACCACCCATTGCATTCCTGGGTCTATCTCCTAAAGAAATGCATGGCTATCTGCCTACCAGGACACATATCCAAACATTATTCCTAATATCTTCAACTTGGAAACAACCCAAATACCCATTAGTACATAGACAAACTGTGGCCGAGTCATGTAATAGAATATTATAGAATAATAAAAATCAAACTACAGCTATGTCCAAAACTACAGGTGAATCTTACAAACATAATATTGAATTTTAAGAAGCAAGGCACAAAAGAAAACACACAGCATAAGTGCATTTATATAAAGCAGAAAAACAGTAAAAGTGCATGGTATAGGGGTGTATAGATGGTTGGCAATGGGGTAGGTGGTAAATTCTAGTAGGAAAACAAAGGGATTGGCTACCATAAAATCACAACAGTGGTGACTTTAGTGAGGGTAGGGAAGAAATAGGCGGGAGCTTCCTGCAATGTCCCATTTCTTGTCCTGGGTGGTGGCTACATTGACAATTGCTTTTGAACTATTTGCTTAACTGTACACAGAAGTTGTATGTGCTTTTCTGTATGCACATTAGATTTAATAGAAACATTTAAAATGAGACAAGAGAAATACATACAAATGTTAATAGTGTCATAGTGGCTAAGTTTGGGTGAAAGTAGTCTGGGTGACTTTTTTTCCCTATTGTTTCCATTTCTCACATCCTTTTTTTTATTTTTTTATTTTTTTATTTTTTATTTATTTATTTTTTTTAGGGTCCACACAGATGGATACATCCTTTTTTTTAAAAGGAATATTGCCTTTGAAACAAATGTCAGAAAAGTAAAGAAAGTAGTCCTAGTATTGCTGGTCTTCTTCTCTCTCCATATATTTAAAAGTAATTTATACTGATTTTATTTTTGTCAAACCGATCATTACAACACATACGAATAAAAGGAAAATTAAACTTATCAGTGAAACATTTTAAAGAAAGTATGTAACTTATATAATAAATGACACAAATCTCTTCCACTAAAGAACATGTTCCCTTACATTCAAAATGCTTGTGAGAAACAGGAACCTGGGTAGTTCCTGTTTGGTTCTTCCCCCTTGCTGTTAGATTTGTTTCTAGATCTAAAATCATTGGAAAGACATAAATTAGTATCGTCAAAAGTTTATTGACAGGCCGGGCGCGGTGGCTCACGCCTGTAATCCTAGCTCTCTGGGAGGCCGAGGCGGGCGGATTGCTCAAGGTCAGGAGTTCAAAACCAGCCTGAGCAAGAGCGAGACCCTGTCTCTACTATAAATAGAAAGAAACTAATTGGCCAACTGATATATATATAAAAAAAATTAGCCGGGCATGGTGGCGCATGCCTGTAGTCCCAGCTACTCAGGAGGCTGAGACAGAAGGATCGCTCGAGCCCAGGAGTTTGAGGTTGCTGTGAGCTAGGCTGACGCCACGGCACTCACACTAGCTTGGGCAACAAAGCGAGACTCTGTCTCAAAAAAAAAAAAAAAAAAAGTTTATTGACACATCTAGTTTTTACTGTGGATGAAAATTATGAGCATGATGGTGCTTTTTTTTTTTTTTTTTTTTTTTGAGACAGAGTCTCGCTTTGTTGCCCAGGCTAGAGTGAGTGCCGTGGCGTCAGCCTAGCTCACAGCAACCTCAAACTCCTGGGCTCGAGTGATCCTTCTGCCTTAGCCTCCCGGGTAGCTGGGACTACAGGCATGCACCACCATGCCCGGCTAATTTTTTATATATATATCAGTTGGCCAATTAATTTCTTTCTATTTATAGTAGAGACGGGGTCTCGCTCTTGCTCAGGCTGGTTTTGAACTCCTGACCTTGAGCAATCCGCCCGCCTCGGCCTCCCAAGAGCTAGGATTACAGGCGTGAGCCACCGCGCCCGGCCCATGATGGTGCTTTGATTTACATTTTGCTCCTTACTTCTCAGTTAGAATCATGGCAGTGTGTTTTTCTTTAGAACTGAAGGGACGTTTTTGGGGGAAAACTACTCAACAGCAGTAATTTTTAGGAAGAAATATTTCCTAGTGATTTTTTTAAATCTGATAAAACATGTACCAAAAAGATAAATAAATTTTAAACAATTTAGGACACTTTAAAAACTATGCTACAATTTCTTGGAAGTGACTATCTGAAGACCTTGGTCTTATCTTGAATGTAGTGTTCTAAAATCATAGCTAAAATGACATGACCTCCAATTGCTGATGTAAGACATCCCAGGTTATTTTGGGTCAAATATATTTTATGTTGAAACTTCAGATGACTGCAAATAGTTTCCCCTCTCATTTAAAGGTGTCTTTCTTTCTTTTCCCCATTTCCAGAGGTCACTGGAAGTCAACTTATTATTTTATAGAATATTGTACTGAAAATAGAATGAATACTCTCATCTAGTTTTTAAATCTTTATTTTTTTCCTTCGATGCTATCAAGATTTAGATCCAAATAATCTAATTCAAATTGGCCTAGTCATTGCTTATTTGATAGTTGAGTAGTGGTATTCCACAAAGCAAGCTGGACTTCA